ATAGTCAAGTGACTGAAAAGTAGGTCAGTCATCTGAGCTTGTCTAATACACACCATGATTTCAGGACAAGAAGTCTCTCCATACAAAAAAATTTCCCAACTGCTATTACCTTAAAATTCCTGAATTTAAATAAAAGTAATTTATTCCATAATTAGAGATAGGAAGCTTAAAGTGCAAATAGCTTGAGAGATAATTCAGTGTTTATGAACTTTTATCAAAGTATGACAGAACAGGTGAAGGTCTTGATTGTGTATTAAAAGGTCCTGAGTGTTAAAAACAGAAAACAAAAAACAACAGTGTCATTGTTGAAAGAAAAGATGTAGGTAAAGAAGCAAAGGTTTCACAGTCTTGCCAGGGACTGCCCTAGTTAGTATAATTTCTGAGTGTGAAAATGAAGAGGTGTTCGTATCTTGAAGGATTATCTGGGTTGATACCTAAGTGGAGAGTATCTGCCTAAATACTGTCTCTCGTCTTAGCCCTTTTTCTACCTTTAATTTAACCCCTAATCTCTTCTCTCAAATCTTCTTCAACTTAAAGGCCTGTGGTGTCACAGAGGCTTGTCACCTCTTTTCTAGGGCCAGAGTTCTGGAGAATGCTACTTAACTGTGCAATTCCCATTTGATGTCACCTGTCATTTGTCCAACAGTGTCCCGGGGGAGGGGTACCACATCTAACACCAGAAAGGATTTAAGGCAGCTTGTACATTATTTTATCCCCTGATTATCAGAGTGATATGTGCTAATTGCAAAAAAATTAACAAAAAAGTTTTAAAAGTAACAAGACTAAAATTCCTACTAACTGGAAGCAACTGCAACTTCATTAAGTATTTTCATATTTTGGCATAATTCCTTCCAATGTTTTATTCGTTTTCTTCTTTCATAATTGAGCTCTCTATTGCACATGCAACTTTCGAATCCTGCTGTTTTTGCTCAACATAAAGATACATCTTTGTCCATGTCATTGCATTTTTATGGCTACCTAATCATCTGTAGTAGAGTGGCACCATGATTTACTCAAGGTAGTTTCTGATCATTTACAATTACAAATAACACTGTGATAAACAGCCTTGTGTGTAAATCTTTGCCCTTCTTTTAGATGATCTACTAAAAGAGAAATTGGTGAATTAAAAGGGTATATATGTTTTTTAAAGTTTCTAATATTCATTGCTACCTTGATATCTAGAGTGGTTGTTATCAAGTTATACGTGGGGGTAAGAGAGGGAGACCTGTTAGAACTATGGGATCTGTAGAAAATATTTGATAACAATTCTTCCTTCTCTTCCCTCCTCCCCTTCTCCTTCAAAGAATGCTTTTTATTTTGAACACACAGAATAGAAACGACAGTGTATTGTTATATACTAATCATTATTTGCTCTGTTTCATAGTGGTAACATAGTACTATTAGACGAGTATCAGACAATTATTAGCCTACATGGTGGCCAATACAAGTGTTACAAAGCATGGAGATTAGCAGAAGCACGTGTGCAGTGAAACTCAGGAAACTTTCCTTCAGTGGAGGTGGGACGTTCACTGGATATTGAGGGAATGGGGTGGGAAGGAGAGGAGAGGTCAGAGAAGGTGGTCCCCAGGAAGGGGATGGAGTGGGAAGGAGGTGGATGTTACCCCCAGAGGAGGGGGAGTTGCAGGGACAGCAGAGCAGTGCCCAAAGGGTCTGCACTTCTTCGCACAGGCAGAGCTGGTAGGAGGGCAGCCTGGGAGCAAACCCTTTGGCAACGGGGGGTTGGGGAGGTATGTCACAATGTCTTTTGGGGCAACCAGAGATTTCAGGGTAATTTTCTGTAAAATGATTGTTGGAAATAAAACCAGCTCTGTGCAGGCCAGGCCCTCTCCTACACAAATTTGTTTTCCTGAAAATAAAGATACTGCTTGAACGCTGTGTTTCTGAATTGTAACAGAAAGAACACACAGCAATTACTTGATTTGATTGAATAGATGTACAGATGGAAGCCAGGATGTCTGGAAGCCAGGATGGTTGGAAGGATGCTTGGATAGATGGATGGACACACTTGCTCTCCATCTAATAACCAGCACCATTCATTCAAAAAGTATTTATTGAATATCAGCTCTATGCCAATCACTTCATTAAGTATTTTCACATTATAACTGCTCTTTTGACTTCTTAAGTTTCCATTATTATTGTTACTATTATTTTTCCTAGAAAAAGCCTGCACTCAGAAAGGGGAAGGACTGCGGGGAGGAGGCTTGCATATCTGTGTTTCCTTTTCTCTCTCTGGCAGAAAGTTTAGCCAAAGATGTTTTCCCGTATGCAATTTCAAAAGCAAATATCACTCTCTCATTTTTAAAACTTTAATTGGCTCCCTGTCCTGTGTAATAAGGCCCAAATAATATGACCTAGTCCTTGACATTCTTTTCAGTCTGATATGCCACGATTTTGCCTTCCACTCTTTCTTGGTGTGTGTGTAAAAATTTTTACTGCAGTAAAATATAGATCACAAAAATGTCCATGTGTACAACTTTTAAGTGTGCAATTCAGTGTTATTAATTGCATTAACAATGTTGTCCATTTGTCAGCGCTATTGATTAACAAAACTTTTTCCATCACTCTAGAAAGAAATTCTATAACCTTTAAGCTGTAAGTTTCCAGTCCCTAAGTCTCTAACAACCGATAATAATCTGCTTTCTATTTCTATGAATTTGCCTATTCAAGTTATTTCATTAAGGGGAATCTTCTAGTATATTTCTTATTGTGCCTGGCTCATTTCACTTAGAGTGTTTCAAGATTTTCAGTGTTTTTGAGATCCACCCATGTTTAGTATAGCAGTACTTCACTTCTTTTTATGATAAATAATAGTCTGTCATTTGCATATACCACGTTTTGTTTATACGTTTATCTGTTGGTGTGCACTGGGTTGTTTCCTTCTTTGGGCTACTGTGGATAATGCTGCAATGAACACTGGTGTACAAGTATGTACAAGTACAAGATTCAGTTCCTGTTTTCAATTCTTTTGTGTGTATAATTGCAAGCACAAAGGCTGGGTCAGTTGGTTGAGAGCAATTCTTAGACTACTATGCACCCAGGAAAAAGCCCTACTGGAGAAGGAGCTGTCTTAAAGTTCTTACATCAGATTTTCCATACCACACAATATATCTGGGTCATTAGGAGAAAAAGGAAAGGAGAAGAATTGAGAGGGAGTTGAGTTAGAAGTGGCAGAAATTATCCGTTTGGGAAACTAAGTTTACACTACTAAAGGACTCAAATATTTAAGGAGTGATTCAGAATAGTAGTTTGGATTATGAAGTGTCAGGTTTATTTATTTTTGTTTGATTTCATGCTATTTAATAGGAGACATCATAATGATGGTGTTTTTCAAACTGTGCATCCTAATCCATTAGTGAGTTAGGAAATAAATTTGTTTGCTATGATCAGTATTAAAAAAAAAGAGAAAATAGAATTGAATAGAAAAATACAAAAATGCATTGTACCTAGTTAAGGGGAAGTATTATTTGTGAAACTTCTGTTTCAGTTACATGTGTGTACTATAAAATGTATTTCTTATTGTGGGATGGGATCAGGAAAAAATTGTTTAAAGCCACTGGGGTAGTGGAAAGTCTGAGCTTTGGAATTAGCCAGAGCTTGGTTCGAATCTGGGCTCTGGGAGACTTCTGTCAGTTTAGTAACTTCTTTGTGGCTCAATCCCCTTATCAAAAAAGGAGAGTAATAATATCTGTTTTGTTTGAAAAGATTAGAGATTACTTAAGTAGAATACTTAAAATACAGTCAATGATTAACAAATATTTAGTTACCTTCAAATTTTCCCATAAATAATGCTCTCTGTGTAAAGATACTTGATTCGCTAGAAGGAAGACGATATATGTTATTGATGACTAGATCTGTTATGCTGTAGTCTATTTTGAAAACACATCGCTCAGTCTGTTTCTCCAGTCCGGTTCAGGAAGGAGGCTTGAACACACCGTTTTTCCCCGTTCCTATTCTCAGAGTGTACTTTTCTAAATTATGGATTTGGGGCATTTTATCGTACATCTGCCATGTATTTCGTAATTATTTCATAGTTCAGCTAGTATTACAAACTTTCAAATCTCTTCTCGTGCTTAAAACAGTGCTGGATGAAAACGTATTGGGGTTTTAAGGGTCCATAGCATACCTTTTGCAAAGTATCACTTATACAAGGGGAAGCAGATGCAATCCTGATTCCACCAGTATTTCTCACTCAATCTACTCCATGCTAAACAGGTCAGTTAGGCACTGTCATGTCTCTGGGTAGTACAAGTGGAAGGTGTGAACAGAGAAACCACTTTATGTGAGGACAGTCGAAAATTAGATCCGATTTCCCTCTCCCCACTCCTATTCCCATCGGGGAGGAAGCATTTATAAGCCCCGAGGACCAGGGCCCAGAAACCTGCTGGCGTCCTGAGCTCCAGAGGCTTGCCAGCACGCACGATCTCCCGCACTGAGAGCCCTTCTTCCCAGATGAATTCTCATAGTATCACAGACGCGCGCAGTCTCGATCGATACTGGATGGCAGACGTGCTCCCGCCGTCAAGTGTAGGCACAGAGCGGTGGATTTAGCCGCCCTGCCGCTCTGTCGCAGCTTCTCATCAGCTCGATACGGGCAGAGGAGGTTAACCCGTTCCCCGGCTGACACCCAACCGGCCGGCTCCCCGGCACCCGCTGCCCCGTCGCCCTTCCTCTAGGCTCTGCTGCTGCAGGGCGGGGGCTTTTCCACCAGGCTCCCACGGGGCTGGGCAGCAGGGTCCCGCCCGCAAGGGGGGCGCTTTGAGGTGGCCTCTTAGCCAGGCTCCCCAGACGGCCTCCCGGAGGCGGCTGAGGCGGGCAGTGCGGAGCTTCCTCACACTCCGGACCTTACCTTCTTGAGCCTTCGCCCGGCAGGCAGCGTGGGGAGGCTGCTGCGGGCAGCCTCTAAGCCGGCCGCGGGGTCCAGGCCGGGGAGCCGCCCGCGCCGCCGCCCGCCTCAGGGACCCCTGCGAGCCCAGCCCCGCGAAAGCCCCGCCCCCGTACCCGCTCCCACTCCTGATTGGCGAGTCCGGCCCAAAGGCGACCTGGCTGTCCCCCGGCCCGCGTCTCAGCTATAAAGGCGGCGGACGCATGACCGCCGTGGCGAAGCTCGGATAGCTGCGGTGCTCTCCCGCTCTCAGCCCCCGCGGCGCCCCCGTTACTCCTTGCCCCCGACCGCTCCGACTCCACCATGCCTAGGGGCTTCCTGGTAAAGCGAACTAAACGGACAAGCGGCTCGTACCGAGTGCGCCTAGCCGAGCGGGTCTTCCCCTTGCTGGGGCCCCACAGGGCGCCACCCTTCCCCGAGGAGGCTTCCAGTGCCCCCCAGCCCAGTGCCGAGCAGCCGGCATCCCCCGCCCCGGAGGAGGAGGTGGCCCACGAACTGTCGGGGTCGTCCTGTCAGGCAGCTAGGGTGAGCCCAGGGGCGGGCGGGCGGAAAGGCGCGGGGTGGAGGGCGGATGGCAGGGAGGGTCCCGGGCCCAGCCCCAGCCCCACGAAGCCAGCCGGCGCGGAGCTACGCCGGGCGTTCCTTGAGCGCTGTCTCAGCTCGCCCGTCTCTGCTGAGTCCTTTCCCGGGGGAGCCGCCGCCGTGGCCGCTTTCTCCTGCTCGGTGGCGCCAGCAGCCGCACCGACCTCGGGGGAGCAGTTCTTGCTGCCGCTCCGGGCACCTTTCCCGGAGCCCGCGCTCCATCCAGACCCTGCACCCCTCTCGGCCAACCTACACGGCCTGAAGCGGGCCACCGGCGGCGAGCGCCGCGCCAAGGCACCTCCCGGCTGCGCGTCTGGACCCTCTGCCGCAGTAGTGAAGAAGCCAAAGGCCATGAGGAAGTTGAGCTTCGCCGATGAAGTCACCACGTCCCCTGTCCTCGGCCTGAAGATCAAGGAGGAGGAGCCCGGAGCCCCGTCCCAGGGCCTTGGGGGCAGCCGCACACCGTTGGGGGAATTCATCTGCCAGCTGTGCAAGGAGCAGTACGCAGACCCCTTCGCTCTAGCTCAACACCGCTGCTCCCGCATCGTACGCGTCGAGTACCGCTGCCCTGAGTGCGACAAGGTCTTCAGCTGCCCTGCGAACCTCGCCTCACATCGCCGCTGGCACAAACCCCGTCCTGCAGCGGCAAATGCCGCCACAGTCTCCTCAGCCGACGGGAAGCTGCTGCCTTCGTCGGCCTCGTCCTCCCAGGATTCTGGGGCTGTTGCATCTTATCTGGCCGAGGGGAAAGAGAACAGCCGGGCAGAGCGAACTGCGGATCAGCACTTGCAGGCCGGGGACAGCTCCGGAGCGGAGCAGCACCAGGACAGTGCCCGGCATCAAGGCCTCCAGGTGTTGTCCCACCCCGACCCACCGCTGCCTCAAGTCCCTTATGCGGAGGGGGTATTGGGGCGCCGGGTGCCTGGGCCGGGCAGTGCCAGTGGTGTTGGGGGCCCCGAGATCTTCGTGTGCCCATATTGCCACAAAAAGTTCCGTCGCCAAGCCTATCTACGCAAGCACCTGGGCACTCACGAGGCGGGCTCGGCCGGCACACTGGCCCCGGGCTTTGGCGCCGAACGCGGCGCCCCACTCGCCTTCGCTTGCCCGCTGTGCGGGGCGCACTTCCCGTCGGCAGACATCAGGGACAAGCACCGGCTGTGGCATGCGGTCCGCGAGGAGCTGCTCCTGCCCGCTCTGGCCGGGGCGCCCCCTGAAGCACAGAGCCCAGGCGGGGCATCCGACGCGAGTGCTCAGCAAATTTTCTCTTGCAAGCACTGCCCGTCCACTTTTTTTAGCTCCCCGGGGCTAACCCGGCACATCAATAAGTGCCACCCCTCAGAAAGTCGGCAGGTACTGCTGCTGCAGATGCCACTGCGGCCGGGTTGTTGAGGGCCAAGAGCCGAGGAAGATTGTGAGGCTGGCCTTGGAGGAAAGAGATCATGGGAATCTCTGTGGGGATTTTTTTTCAACTTTCAAGTTGACCCTCTTTCCTTCATTTTCTCTCCTAAAACTCCCAGTAGTCAATATTCCGCCAGAGGAGCGGACAGCGAAATGTAAAATCTCTCTGTAGAGCAGGTATGTATGTGGTATAAACTTTCTCGATCAAGAACCGTCAGCTTTAAATCCTTCTCACTTTCCCCGCGAAAATAGGATTCCACCCCTCGTCCCCCTCCACCCCCACCAAACTCTGGAGATCCTAACGAATACTATATGACTTGTAATTCCTATGGAAAGTCGCAGTGAATGCGTGCATGTCTCAGTGTCTACAAAGGATTCTAGCTACCCAAAGTGGTAGTCCTTAATCTTTTTTTCTCTTGCCATCGCAGGCGCCTATGTAGTCTCTGTCTCAGTAGGGTCAGATATCTTGCATTGTATATTCTGTGAATTAAAAGTTATGTGATTGGTGCCAAACTTACACAGGGGTGGGGGCGGAAATACAAGACTTGTGTCTGTGGGCAGGAAATGTAAGAGGATGTTGGGGCTTTTGGGGGATGTGGGGAATCGCCCTGGAAACTTTCGTTTTCTCAATTACAAGTAATAGTCCAATCTTCAGTTAGTGTTTGGAGGTGAGGAATAGCACCTCTTTACTGGAAGGAGTTGACACTCCCCCCAAATTTTCACTTTTAGCTATTCTGTGAGCAGTATTCAGGAAGAGATACTTAAAACCTTTAATACATTTTGGAGAATATAAATGCATGTCCTTAAGTTTGACTGTTTTAGTAGTTTCATCCGAATTGTTTAATTCTTCTGTTGTAAATCTCATAATGTGTATTATATACGATACTACGTTCAGCTTAAAGATGTTAATACTTTTAATCCACTATGGAACTGAAGGGCAATTCATTCAATATTCAGTGTTTTCTTTTCAGCAGCAACTGGTTTTTGAATTTCTTTCTGTAAGCATATTCAGTGTACATTCTGTACCTATGCCCTAATAGCCAGCGTCTGGGACACTGGCTGAGTACTTCTTGACAGATAAGCCCATATATGTAAGATGCTTACCACCAAATAAATGTACATAGCCGGTGCTCTGTTGTGTTCTGTGTTTGTCTTAAGAATCCCATTGAACACAGCCTATTTTTGAAAGCCACATTTCTTGTCTCCCCAAAGCCAGTATCCTACTTTTTAATCTCACTGACCCATTTAGATGGAATACAGACAGGAGAAATTTATTTTGTAAATGAATGTAATGGTGCAGAAATTCAATGGGAAAACTTCTTTTGAAATATGGCTGCACAGAATGAGCTCCAAAAGGCAGAGAATATGTACTGTTCTTTTAGATATTAAAGATACTTTCCCACCCAAAAATCTCAACAGAAAATACACTTTAAATACTTTTAAAAAAAGCTAGGTGAAGAGTGTTATCCAGATGAATATAAATCATGTTATCTGTGTTAATTAAATTCACTATTTTCAAGTTGGTATTTTCACTCCATTTTGTTACCTATCAATCCATTAGCTGTTCATTTTTCAAAAATGAAAGCACTATAGAAATGTGTACTTTAATTTTCCTTTCTGCAGTTCTTCACTTTGGTTGTGGGAAGCTGTCTATATTGTTTAATCTTGTTCCCAGGGATTCTCTCTATCCATTTGTTTATGACCTCTACGTAAGCTTTCATGGGAATTTGTTTATTTTCTACACAGTTTTATAGGAATTTGTTTTTACTTATAAGAAAACCCAAAACTTAAGTGCACAGGAACTCTGAAAGCTTGCTTTAGAAACTGTCTGTAAAAAGTTTTGTTCCTGAATATATATTACAAAACAAAGTAAAATTAAAGAAATCAAAGAAGGAGGCTGAGCTAAATCGATGCTTTAATCAAGGACATTGGGTGAAGTTCCTGGCCAGCCCTTATGATGGCATAAACTTTCCTGTGTTTTCAATGACTGTGGTAGGTTCTCTGAGGAATAAATTGGAGTGTATCCTAAGAAGGGAATTAAAATTCATTTTTCATGATTAGCTAAGATACTCTAGGTTTATGCTTTATACCTCTCCATTAAATACAGCCCTGCTTACTAAGTCTGGAAAATATATGTAAGAAAAACAGAAGACAAAAGAAATATAGACAAATCAACACTCATGGACAGGAAATGATAAGAATATTTTTATTGTATTATTAAATACCATCTTTTTTCCACTGTTACAAATTTGTAGATACTACATGAATGATGATACATAATTTATATTTTATAGTTTGCCGCTATGATGTATTTACACATGCAGTTAGTACCAATGTCATGCTACATTTCCTTAGAAGATGCCCATTCAAAACAAAATGTGAGCAAATGTGAGCAGCTTATCTACTGTAGGAAAATACTTTGGAAGGGTGGAATGTATACCAACCTGCACCTGCAAGTTCAGTATTAACAATATTAGATTAATTTTAGACTCCTGGGTCATGTTCCCTTTTCTTTTAAAATAACGTACATAATTTAAGCAACATATTTGTATCAGAAGTTTTTTCCTTTTGTTTTTTCTCTCCTGCAGTTTCTCCCTTTTTGGTACTTAAGAAAGAACAGATACACCAGGATCAAGTAGCCAATAATAAAGGGCCACAATCTCAAAAGTAGAAATGGCATTTAACAGTGATACCATTTAAAAAGCAAAACATTAGAAAAATATTTGGAAGCTAAACACGAATCAAAGTTCAGCACAGTGAACTTTCTGGTTATTGGATATATCATGGTATCACCTGCACAGTTAAGAAATGACACATTGCTTTGGGAAGAAAAAGTTAATGCTAAAATTATTTCAGCTGGAATTTGAGATGCTCAAAGACCACTTATTTTTAAGTGTCTTATTTTCATAACTTAAATAATCCATACACACCCTGTGTATTAACAGATCTGCAACTTTTGCTATAACTTTACAAATGCTTAAATTGAAAGATGTACATGTATTAAAAAGTTATATATTTACTGAGCCATAAAGTTGCAATGGGGCATGATAAATAAAATAATAAGACTATCTGTCCAATTATATTTTGGCTCAAAGTTAATTAAGAAATTAAAACTACTTAGACATAATTATCTAGGGAAAGTGAAGGGTGCAGAATAAAACTCCACCCTCCCCCCCATATGGCAGCTTGGAGTGTTGGGGGAAAAAAACCAACCAAATAAACAACCCAAATCTAAAATATTAAGTTACAAATTATTTAAATCCAGTGTTTTCTAAAATAAATGTTCAGGAAAGAACATGCATGTTATGGCAAACATGAAGCCTAAAAGGGTTAACACCGTGTTCATGCTAAGATGGCTACTGCTGATCACTGCTGGGCTGCTGTCTCCTTAGGATTTATTGGCTGAGCCAGAGGAACGACGCAGCTTCATGGACATGCGGCTTTTGCTAGTTCGAGGAGACATTGGAGAGGCCAGGTCAGCCCCGTCTACCTGCGTTGCTGTGGGAGTTTCACTGGGTAGAATCTCTGGGTAGGAGCCTGTGGGAAACAGCAGGAGCATGAGTACAAGTCATCCAACCTCTTGTCCCATAATAACCTTCTGCTACCGATCTGCAGCATGGATCCCAATCCTTAATGAGGCCCTTTGAGAGGAAACAGCAAGTCCAAAACTTGCTTGTTTAACAGTCTACTAATATTTTATTTAAAACCCAGTGATTTGGTGGCTCATGTCATCATATTAGCAAGAAAGCACCAATCACTATTTCCAGAGCCAGAACCAACCAGAGAGCTCCCTGGAAAAAGCAATGGGAAGCAAAATCTTTTGAGACAGGGATCCAAAGCACCATTAGCATGCACGAAAAGGCTTAAGAAGCAGGATACAGGGTATAATCAAGAAAAGGGCCTTCATTGCCCAAACTTGAAAAAAAATTGCACCAAATTTTTCCAAAAAGGAACTTAGCAGCATGAGACCATTATATATGCTAGTTATTTAAATATGCTTTGAAGGAGGAGTAAGATAAATTCCTGGGAAAAGGAGGAGGACAAGAACTCTGATCTGAAAGTCAGTCAAAAAAGACAAACTGATGTCTCAGTCATAAGCAATGCTTTTGTTTTCTTAAACCTTTGCAGTTATACTATCCAGTCATAGCAAGTAGGGAACTAACCAGTAGAATTAGCAGATACAAAAATTTTTAAAGCAGCAAAACAAGTTCAAATTGGAAAATTCTTCATGTCATTTACAAAGTAGCCCTTCACCACTGTACTTTATTTCTGAGTTACAATTTTCTAATATACAAAAGTACTACAGAACTTTGCACACTGCAGGCTGTTAAATATTTCATGAATGAATAAGAAGTTACATTAAAAATAAAAACCCTTCAAAACAACAAAAAGTCTGCAAATATAACACAGTAACAAAATTTAAAAAATTTTAAGGCACTTTAATCCAGATTTTCTTGGGTTTATGTATATGAAAATTATCTTTATGTGTGTCAAAAACAAACACACACATCATATAAGTTATAGGCTTACACTTATATATAGCTCCTTACTCTGCAGGAAAACTTTTGGCATAATAGCCACTGTAGCACCTCACTGACACCTTGGGCTTGGGCATACTTATACTACTATTTCCATATAATAAAATATTTGTGTCTAAACTGAAGTTATGGATATTTATAAGGAAACACAACACTGTTCAGTAAGGGGTAAACTTCCTAGTGAGATGTTTTAGGAAATTAAGAATGTATCTCTGTAGAACTCTTCAAAGTGTTTTTTAAGGCCAAATATTATAATTATACTTAAGAACAAACATACATTGTCAAGGAAAAAATATTTTACCACTACTCCCAATCCAGGTAAATTGTCCTCCTTTTCAAAGTAACTTCTCCAACATTCTTTTCTAATTGAAATGAAGTTGGCCTTCAAAATACAAGGAGAAGGAAATTTATTTCTGTTCACCTTTACTCTTCCTGAGGCTCTGAACTGGTTCATACTGGACTCAGACTGGAAAACCTAGAGGAGAATGTGAATCCATGGCCCTTTTGAGGGAAGCACTGCAGATGGATGGCAGAAGGGCGGTGAAGAGCAGTAGCTCATGCTTTTCTGGTGATGCGTATTATTCCCAGCCAACCATGAGAGGCCTTCCCATGGCTGTTTACCTTGAGATGGCCAATGTTTTCTAGTGGAGGTTTTGGGAGGAAGAGAACTATCACTGCATTTCTTTCTTTGTTGTGAATGAAGAAATGGAGTAGCGCGCAGAAATGAGAAAACAAAAGAGAAGATAGGTAACAGATATGAGAGACACAGTGCAGAATTTTACAGGTGTTAACAGAGGAGCAGAGAATCAGGTTTTTATTATGAAATATAATTGGGCATGCAATGTGTTAGGGTGATGAGGTTTCACAATGGACAAATGCTTTGTAAATTCAAATATACTTACCAACTAACAAAACAAGTTCAAGTAGGAAAAAAGAAAAGAAAAAAAAAAGCCTATGAGCAGTTCTACAAACATCTACCTTTTAAACTGTTGACTGTGCTGCTGGCATGTCATCCTAATCACTCAGTCATGAAATCGCTAGGGCTGTGCTGTCCAACGTGGTGGCTACAGCCACATAACATTTAATTAAATAAAAATCTGGCTTCTCGGTGCACTGGCTACATTTCACACATTTCAAGTGTTCAGCAGCCACATGTGGTTAGTGGCAACCATACTGGACAGTTCCATCATCATAGAAAGTTTTATTAGAGAACACTGCTTTAGAGTATGCCAAATTCAAAGAATATTTCCCACAAAAACAGCAATTCCTCGATGCCACCCTTACTGCCTTCAAGGTAAAACCCCCTTTTAGTCAACAGAGTCAAATCAGGCTTTTTAAAAGTGTGTGTGATATACAGCTATCAGTATGTCCTCATGTTTTAGCAAATGGTATCTGTGACATATACTCGGCATATCCAAACTCTGTAAATAATTTATGGTGGATCTCAATTTTAGATGTAAAAAAGTACAGTCATACCTACACTTCATTTCCTATCCTATTCTCCCTAAGTACTGATTTATATCTCCTGAGTCATAAAAAATACTGATTTATTTATTTCTATTATTACTATATCCTCAAGTATGAAGTTTAAAAGGCACCCAGGGGCCCCTATATTTTGCATACTGTATCTGTTACTAATCTTCTTGCAGCACTCACACAGACT